CTTCAGACGGCCACGGCCCTGAAAGGGGGTGGCCCAAAATTGTGTATCGGAGCTCCATCTTCATGTTGGGCCGTACGTGACGCGTTGCTGCATCGCGAAGCTCCTTTTCTAGCATCTTGGCACGAGCTTTGCTCTTTTCTGACACGGAGCCGGGCACCAACTCAAAGGGGATGTCAGCTAATTCTCTCGCCTGTTCAGCGACCAGATCGGGGTCAGCATAGTCGTTTTTCTCGTGGGGATTATATGGTCCTTTGATATAATACTTGCTGAATACAGTTCCCCCTGACATTTCTCAGAAGAGAAAAAGTCGAGCTTTTCAACAACAATTCAAATGAGATTTCTTTTCGACTTGTTAGCACGTTAAACGCTCACCCAGTCCTCGCTTGACAGTGGTAAATTTATCTAGCTATTATCTCTTCACGTTGGCAGAGACGAATAGCTATAGGGATAAATTTACGGGGAAGGATCCTGACGGTGGTGGGGGGCAAGGTTGCCACACTTTTACCTTTCGACCTAACGTGGAGCCCCGTTCAAAACCATGAACAACGATAATATCGACCCTGCACTTCAATCGGTCGACCTCGCCGCTGCACAGAGTCGCATGAAGGGACCTGTGGCGCGAGTAGCAAACGCTGGAAGTCGCGAAGGCACACCGCAGAGGGCGCACGGTTCATCCCAGTACTCTGCTCCGCCAGGAATGAGTCAAACACAACAGATTCAAAGGTTGTTTGAGTCGAATCCAAACCTTCAACAGTTGCAAAACGCTGCGAACAAGGCTACAGAGGTGTATGATGACGAGGAAGGAGAGGAACTGGACGACGAACAGTTGGCAAATTCTAATGCTCGTGCCAGAGAAAACTTGCAGTGCGTTCATCCTTCTGAGGACCCTTGAATGCGTCTCTCACACTTTGAAAAAGCATGTTATTACAGAGCATGACACCGGATCAACTGGATAGGTTCCATATCTTTCGGCGTTCAGGTCTAAACAAAACTGCTATCAAAAAGGTGAGTCGACGTAATGAGCTCGTATACCAAGCATTGACTCAGTCACCAGGTTGCCGCTCATAGTGACCACCAGATGAGTAATGGTGTTGCTCAGCTCCTAGCTGGTGTTGGAAAAGTATTCGTAGGGGAAATAATAGCTAAAGGTGCGTCTCTTCTTCGTGTAAAAGGCTTTTCCTGACGATGATAT